CGAACCGCTGAAGCGTCAACCATTTCTGGCCAGCAACTTTCAGCGTCATTAAGCCGCTGTGCCACCGCGTCCCCCTGGTTGAAGGTTACAAGTAGGCAATTGTAGAGTAAGGGTCTAACTGGGTGAGACAAAATAGCTTCATTAGGGAAAAGAGACAGTTTTTTATCCATTTCCTTTGGAATAAGCAATCTGAATAGACACATAGAGCTCTATGCAAAAGTTTCATTACTTGGATTTCACTTGGCTCTTGCTTTATTTCCATGGAACTCTGTTTTCTCCATAGTGGTTCTTTTTTGGGGGGGCAGGGGAATGCTTCCTTCTATCCAGGTATGAAATAGATCAAGATCCATAGCACCATGATCTTGAGTTGTCTGAAAGGTTGACTTCAATAAATTATTTCAGAGTGTAATTGAGAAACTGCTAAATATTTAGCTCATTTTGACCAGTTTCGATCTCTTACACATCTCCACTACTTTAGCTTGAGTTTTATAGGGAAAATTTTATGAACAACTGTCAGTGGCTTGAGATGACCTTCCAAAATGGCTCTAAATGTGCGTAGTGTCCATGACATTTCTAAAGCCATTGCTCTAGGAAGCCTGCAAAGCATGTAAATGCTAAGTGTTATCATGAAGACACTTCCCCTCAGCTGCCAGTGGGGAAAGCCAGTGAAATGCTTCAGATGTTTATGATGAAAGACTTAGAAATATCTTGTAAAGACCATAAGTCAATTCAAGCATCTTACTAAACAGTGAATGTGTCTGGTGACTTTTAAATGGCCTTTTTTAGGACTTGAGATAGATTTCAGTATCGTAACTTATCATTACAGTATAGTAACTCACTTAACAACAACTTGTTCAGTGACTGTTCAAACTTACAATGGCACTGAATGAATGATGCTTATGAGTGGTCCTCATACTTACAACAGTTGTATCATCCTGCAATCACATGATCATGATCTGGGCACTTGACACCCAGCTCCCAATTATGACATCTCAGCATCCTGTGGTCACATGATTGCCATTTGTGACCTTCTTTGCCAGCTTCTGACAAGCAAAGTCAATGGGGAAACCAGCAGGAGGTCCCAAACGGTGACCGCGTGACCTTGTGGTTAACAACATCATGGGATTTGCTTAACAATGGCAACCGAAGTGCCAGAATTTCCATCACTAAGTGACATGGTCACATGACATTGGACTTCATGACTGCATCGCTTATCAACTGAAATTCCCATCCCAATTACTGTGATTAAATGAGGACTACCTGTACTTTTCTCAAAAATTATGCCTGAATCTGGGGCCAATACTTTGCATCCAACATAGGTGCTTTGGAAATAGTTTGCAACTTTAGCACCATTTGGGGGTGAAAAGTTTCTTTAACAATAATAATTTCCTCCTATACATTATTTTAAAAAATGAGATCAGTGAATTTAGAACAATTATGTCAGAGTTTTGGAAAGAAGAAGCAGGCCAGAAGATTTATGATATCAGAAAATCAGATGAGTTATATTCTATGATGTCTCTCTGTTTGGGGAGACAATATCTGACAGCAAAAATGATTCTCCCTCCACCTGTCTGCATGGGGGAGGAGGGAGAAGGGAAGTTCTGATGCACAAGTAGAATTCCACTTGTGTAATATCATATGTGGCCCAAGGATGATATCCTTCCTGCTCTTTTGTGCTAAATCAGGATTTTGTAGACAGCAATTAAAAAGGATGTTGAAGCATCCAAAATCTTGCAAAAGGCAATGTTTTCTTTCTTCTAGACAAACTTGGGTCCACCGTCTTTGCTCCTGTTAAAATGGATTTTGAAGGAAACATAAAGGTAATAGAATCAATTTAACATTCAGTAGCCAATGATATCATAACTCATAGCATCATAGAGCTGAAAGGAACCATTTAGACTACCTTGTCCTGGAGTTGAAAATAAAGTAACTCTGGCAAAGATCTCTCCATCCTCTGCTGGAAATGTCCAGTGAAGGAGAGCCCACCACCTCCCAGGTACTTAGTTCAGTGATCAAACTGCTGTTAGTATTAGGCAGGTTTTTGTAACTTTCATTGGAATCTGCCTTCCTGTAACTTCAGATTATTCTCCCATGTTTTGCATACTTGGACACTAGAAAATAGGCTATAGCTTTGTTTTATATGGCAACCTTCATGTACTTAAAGAGAGGTATTGTATCCCCTCACAGGGCCCTTCTACGCTTACTTTCTGGGCTGCTGGCTTTGCTACCTCATTGCAAAGCAGCTTTCTCACACTGTCATATGAGGGTCCATAAAACTACTTGTTTCAGTGGGCCAGTGAGAGAATCCCAGTCAGGAGGCAGAGAGTGTTCTAGTCCCATCCCAATTCTTTTCCGTATACCATTAAAAAAGAAGCCAGCCACTATGGGGCAGGGAAGGAGCCAGGGAGAAGCCATGACACCTTGGCTTCTGAAGAGAGGTAGAAATCTTGACAAAGATGAAGTTCCTGTCAGTGAGAAGCCACCTTGCCCTTCAGCTCCAGAGAAAATGCTACAGAAGGGTTTCATCTGGATTGAAAGCTCTGAAAGTTCTCAAAATCCAAAAATGGAGACTTGCAAGGACAGTTGTTGCCTGTAGAAGACTCTTCTGTTACCTTTCCTCAAGGCTGAAATGTATTCCATTATCTCTGTCTCTCCATATAGGACTTAGTTTCTAATCTGCTGATTGTCATTTTATTTATTTATTTATTTTCTCCCCCACCCATCTCCCCCCAATGTGGGACTCTGGGCGACTTACACAAAACATTAAAACCATAAATACATATAAATACATAAAACATCAAAATTTTAAAAACA